TTAACAAAATCATCTAACATTGTTAAAGCAGAGGGACCAAACACGTGTGAAATATAAATAACATGGACGTTTTCCGTAATTATTTCAATTTAGGGACATAAAGTGCGATTTTATGTAAACCACATGAACCAATCATGAAATTTACGTGGCTTAATATTATTCAATCAGATTATTTGTATTTTGTCATTTTCAAATTAAGTATCTTATGAATAGTTGATGGTCAATTTTTATTTTAAAGATGTGTAAAACCAAACATTTTATTGTTGATTTTAGAATAAGAGAAGCACGATTAAGTATTCAATTTTACCTCCATAGCAATAGTTGTAATAAAATTATAAAAACTCACATTTCTATCCATTTTCTCATGTTTAATTTAGTAAGTAATTAGTTTCTACATTAACAATAGTATAGCCGTCAAAGACCTTCTAGCCTAGTGGTAAAGGCTTGGGCATGACATAGTCATGAACCTGAGTTCGAGCCCTGGGAGGGGAGTGTTGGCGACATTTAAGTGAGGCCATGTTTAGCCTCCAAATTTGCCGGGGATTAGTCGAGCTTTGGCCCGGACACCCTTACAAAAAAAAAAAACAATAGTATAGCCCTAGATTCTGATGTATTTGTAGTTTGGAGGTTCCTATGGATAGACTATTGACAAGTTTATTTACTTCAATTTTATGAGAATGTCATTATCTTTTGAGTTATTAATTGACTTGACCAATTGATTGGTGTTCATTTGATAAAACATTAATTACAATATCAGGTTTTTAATTGCTTAAAATTTTGATGAAATGGTAAATGGTATGTTAGATTTCAGTAAGGTTTGCAAACCAATCCTTAGATTCTGACAGATAAACGCTAGTAAACTAAGCTAGTGTTTATCGTCATGAATCGGTAATTTCCTCATTATTAAAGGTAATTTCATCTGAAAATTTAAAAGCGTCTCTAAAATTCCGATTTGTTAATAAGATTTTACCGAAGAGTTTGTTTTGGTCAACATCTGTCTAAGGAAGACGATAACTATAATCGATATAGACTTGACATGTCCTCTTTTACATGGATCGTAGGAATAAATAACAAACGTTATGCATCATATCAGGATGGAACTATTGTTGTCGTTTTAATTCCTTTCTTTTAATCATAACTTTAGTGTTAATCCGAATCCAACTCTACACCCCTATTTTACTTTCACTATATTTTATTTGTAAAATGTAGAAGTCAAATAACTTTCACAAGTAATGTCTATATATTCTACCCTACTTATCATTAATGTAATTTATATTATAGGAAGAGGTAATAAAAAAAACTAGTTATTTAGCAGTGTCGGCAACAATCAATTATCTAAGAGGTCGTTTATCAAATACTTACTCGATAAGTACTTACCAATAAAATTTAGCACTATCTTTGACTTACCAGGTAAGATTTTAATCCACCAAAATGGTATCGTATGCAACAATTTAACCGGTAAGCGCTTGCCAAATTGTAGCATAATCAATTTGTTCATTCATCAAAAAGATCCTATGATATATTTTTGGTACATAGAATGACATCATTTGGGATCATAAATTCTTCTGATTTCCGAGTAACACTATGTAAATCAAAGTAAATAGGTCGATTTTTCGTGTTACCTCATGTGAATGTTTTTAATACTATTTTGAACTTTTATACTATGTTCTCGAATTTGGAAAAGAAAAGAAAAGAATGAGAAAGAAAAAGAAAAATAAAAGAAAGGAAAAAAAAGTTTTTTTATTCATGTTTTTGATAGAGAAGAAAGTAGAAGAAAAAAATATAAAAAAATAAAATAAATTTTGATATAATTTCTTTTTTCTTTTCCTTTCCCTAAAAAATCTCATAAAACAATTTTTTTTTTCGTCTCTCATTACTTTTTTTTTCTTCGTAAAAAAAGACTTAAGAACATAACGTTAAGGTTAAAACAAACTTTTCTGAAATCATCAATCTTGTAAATAAAAAAACTCATTTTGGTTATAGTTTGAGATCTTATTCTTCTTTTAGCGATAGAAGAGTACATAAGACTTATGCACTCAACATTAGATAATAAAGAACAAATATAATAAAAATAATTATAGTTTTATTATTTTAAATATAGATAGAAATTGTACCATCTCATATAGTTGGTAACTTTTTCAAAAGATGGTGATTTTGTTAGCTAATAACAAGAAAATGTACTATATTATAACACAAAAATAGAATTCATGCGAGGATGGAATAATCAAAGAGTCAATCGGAGATGAATTATAGAGAATATATCAAAGTTTTCAAGGCAAGTAGTTTTAGCCGCCGGTATTAGATAAAAAAAAACTTAGAGAAACATTAAACAATATTATATAATGAACGACAAATTAACTTTTTTATGTATTTTCTTCTCCAATATATTTAATTAATACATATTTGGGCCTTTAATAGTTAATGTAGTACCAAAATTTTTTATAGTTCTATCAGATACTAATTTTTTTTATGTCTCTTCTATTTACTAATTTTTTTGAAATACTATTATATATAAAAAAATTTGGGCTCCCAATTTTTTTGGGCCCTAGGCATACGCCCGACCTGCCCTCCCTCAGGGACGCCCCTGACACCTAGTATCACTAGCAAAACACCCAACTATCTTGCCAACTAACTCTAACTAACAACTCACTTCTTAAGGAGAATATGTGGACGCTTATATGCTAACATCCCCCTCAAGCACAACGCCAGGAATGATGCAAAGCTTGGATTTAAGAATAGCAAACCGAGATATCGAGAGCCCTTTCATCAAGATATCAGCAAGTTGCCATGTAGTTGAAACATAACAAACTGAAAGTTGATTAGACATAACCATGTCCCAAACAAAGTGTAAGTCAATCTCTAGGTGTTTGGTACGTTGATAAAACATTGTGTTCACGGCCAAGTATGTTTCTCCAATATTATCGGATCATAAACTTGGAGGACAAGTGAAGGAAAGTCGGAGTTCTTTGATAAGATATATAAGCCATCGTATTTCAGAAGTCGTGTGTGCTAAGGCATGATACTTCACCTTATTGCTTGATCAAGCCACTACGTGTTGTTTCTTCGAAATCCATCTAACAAGATTATTACCAAGATAAACACAATACCCACTTGTGGATCGTCTATCATCCGAATATCCGGCCCAATCAGCATCAGAATATTCATGAAGAACATAATCAATTGACTTTTGGATTAAAAGACATATGAGACAAAGTGCCCTTTAAACAACAACCCAGTGTATATCAGCAGGACTTTGTAAAAACTGAGAGGCTTTACTGATAGCATAAGCAATTTCTGGTCGAGTGAGATATAAATATTAAAGTGCCCAAACTGTACTTCAATAAATCAAGGGATTAGCTAATGGTACTCCATAATATTTAGAAAGCTGTCGACTAGGAGAGATAGAAGACGATAAAGGCTTGCATTGACTAAGCCCAGTACATTGTAATAGATCCAACAAATAACACTGCATCGACAAGGAGAGATAGAAGACGATAAAGGCTTGCATTGACTAAACCAAGTATGTTGTAATAGATCCAACAAATAACACTGCTGAGATAGGTGAAGACTAACCTCAGAGAACGTAGCCTGTATACACAAAAAGTAATTAAGTCTTCCCAGGTCCTTCAAGGAAAATTGTGAATGTCATTTCTGAATTATTTCAGAAATAAAACTGGTTGAACGTAGCCTGTATACACCTCGTGCAACACACATTGAAGTACTTTTCATCTTCTGTAACTATGCCTGCATATCTTTTATCTTCTCTAATTGTGCCAGTATGTTCATCTTCTCCAATTGTGCCGGTATGTCTTTCTTCCGTTGCTCCGGTGGTCAAGACTAAGGTAAACCCCCCTTAGTCTATCCCAACCACCACCACCCTCTCGTCTAAAAGATTCTCCTCTCAAACCAGTCTTGGTTCTTCTTCGAGGGCCAAGAAAGCCAAAAAGGGGATACCCACATCCCTGGCTGCTATCTCTCAAAAGGTCTCAATCATTGAAACAAGCCTTACCCCCGAGGAAACTTCTGTTATAACCCCTCCAAGCTCTTCAGTGATTTCGTCAGTCACTGTCGTACATGTGGCTCCTCTCTCAACTGCATCAATGACCTAAACCACTGAAGATGTGAATATCAGCATAGCCACTACTGAACACCCACTTCCACCACTCTCAACCATCTTCTCTTCTCCTCCTTCTTTGATCTCGACGCATGCTGGTGATTCATCAGTGATTGTCCTCGCTGATGATGAAGCAATCAGCACATGACCTGAGGTCGCTCCTCTCGAGATACCTCAGTCAACGGAAGCCTATCCGCTCGAAGGCATCCACGAGAGAACCAACATCAATCCTTCAGATGGCATTGATGACCCCTTAGGTACTCTACCAACCTACCCCTTTATTTATTCTAACCCTAAGCTATCTTATGCTCAAACTTTTTTTTAGGTCCTTGCTATAAAGGATCACCAGCCATGGAAGAAAAATACAACATATCTGATGATATCAAGCCGCTTCTCCTAGTAGTGGAGACTGTCTTAATCAGAATGGACCAAGTCCATAAAGACATGCCTTTCAGGGATGACCTTTCCTCTAACCTCTCAGTTGTCAAAGCTGAAGTCAATGGCATGAAGGAACTACTATCTGCGGTGCAAGATGATGTACGCACCAACGCTGAGGCTATTTCTGCTCTCAACAGCAAAGTCGACGAAGTGCAAGCTTAGCTTACCAAGCATGGTGAGATGTTGCAGCAGATACTGGATCTTCTTCAACATCCAGTGTAAGTTCGTGCACCCTTCTTCACAGCTGAGGATCGCCTAACGCTGGATTAAGTGCTCGAACTTGGTCTTCTTCAAGCTCAATCTCTGGCCGAGCTTGAACAGGGAATGGATATCGCTGCTATACCTCATCTCTCGTGTTGCTAATTACAAAGAGGGGGAGAAAGACTAAGCTGCTTCTGTCCCTATAACACCAGTTATGTTGATGCTCAAGTTGAAAGAGCTGAAGTAAATGAAGCTGATGCCATCACTTCCCATGAAGCTGAAGCGTGTTGCTAAAACTGAGAAAATTGATGATGCCGTCAAAGCTAATGATCAAGATGAAGACCTTCCTATCACCTCTGTAGCTGATGTTGGTGATAAGGAAGATGAAGATGATGATGAAGACGATGAAGTTGATGATCCTCCTTCCTTTCCTGATGCTGGAAAAGATCTTGATGGTGGTGATGATGAAGACGACGATGACGACGACTTCATCATTCAATACCACAACAAACCAGCTAGCGCTCTGATCGGAGTCTCTCAGGGATTCATCATCCCAAGGGGAGAAAGAGATTTTGGAAAAATAAAAAGAGACTTCTGTAAAGAACCAGAACACCTCGTCCAAAGACAAAGGTCTTGCTGAAAAAGGAAACCAGAAAGTTCTCTTCAATCCTATCAATCCTCAAATGTATGTTGAACCCTCCAGGTTTTCCGTCATCACTTCTCTCTCTCAACTCTCTTATACTATTCCTTCTACTACCTATGATCGTCTAGATGAATGGGTACCTGAAAACCCAACTTTTAGTGTTCCTAGCGACCAATAGATGAATCAACTTAAGGAGTCACTCAACCGAACTAGAGTAAAAATTCATCTTCGTACCTCTAGTTATGGTGATTTCGAATTCCTTACAGAAGTTGAAAGACTCGAAGCACTTAAGGCTGAGAAAGAACTCCAAATTCAACGACAACAGACTGAGGACAGCCTCAAGCTGGCCAAGTCTCTTGATTCTCAAGTTCTTCCAAAGAAAATGTCTAAATAGATGGTGAATGTTGTCAAGGCCCAAGCTAAATTGCTTTCAATTGCAGAATTTGAACGTCAAAAAGCAATGAAGCTGAATGACCGAGACAAGAAATGGAGTGAAGATCTCCTTAACAAAAGAATCAATCACCGTCCCATCACTAACATCACAATTGATGGTCGTATGAAAGATGGTGGAATGATTATCTCCATGCATATCATCAGAGATAACCTTGACTTAGTCATCGAGTACCTTGCCTACCTTGGACAATACGGCTACGACGAATGGCTGGAAATCCGCCAAGCCATTCAGCTTTCAAAGTCAAGGCACAAGCCAATAATTGAAGACATCCTCAGCGAGCTGATCAAGAAGATGTCCAAATTTGTTGCTGTACCTACAAAGCCGACGTTGAAGAAAGATGGAAGAAGAAATCCTTCAAATCCTAATGATGGACCAACTCTGAGGAACGAACATGAAACAAAGTTCTCCCTGGAGGAAGTCCTAAAGGATTCGAAGAATCAAAACATCTCTATGTTGAACCTATATTTGCCAACAAAGGGCCCTTACACACCCAACTTTGTGTATCTAAAGCCTGCGTTTGAATTCATATTCCTTGACTATGATGGCGAACACAACTTTCAAAGAGTGTTTAAGCTCCGTCTCTGTCCTATAGAACATCTTGATTATCTAAGATATTGGTTGGATGATGACCATTATCGTGAGATGATAGACCGCAAGATCAGAAAAGAATTTCTACGTCGAAGGATGCTTGGAGAAGAAGTACCTGGTTACATCAACTTCAACGACTTAGATTAGTTAGAATTTTCTATCTTGTAAATTTTATCTTTCATTGTAAATCTTATCTTTCTATGTCTTTTCCTTTAGTGTACAACTTATATGTTATAAGTCTAGAATATACTGTTGTAACACTTGTATTCCTCTTTTTAAATAATATAAGTATTTCATCAGTATCACTGAAAAAATCCTTAAAAATAGTAATAGGGACACATGTCTATGAGTTCCAGTAAACTCTTACATTCACTGACACTCTTCAGTTAGTGAACATTTTTTCTTAAACTTGTAATTTAAGAAAACTTATATAGCAAAAACTGTATCACTGAAAAAGATCCCAAAATAATTAAAAGGGACATATATTTTATGTGTAACTTTTCCTTACTATTATACCTTAAAGCAGTTTTCTTTATGTTGCTTTGTCATCATCAAATGGGGGAGATTGTTGATCATCTCTCTCATTGATTTGATGATAATTCCTTTTACCTATCGAAGTATTATGTTACTGTCTATTCAGTTCCAGCGATCATCACTGAGTCTGTTCAGTGATCGCTAAAACATGTATTGTAATCCTACAACGACAGCTATACTTCATGAAAGCAAAACTCACACCCAAGAACCTTCAGCGAATGTCGAAGACTGAAACTGAAGATTAGTGACTAGCGCATTCGTGATCTGAAGCGGTATTCAGTGATTACAACATGGTCAATATATGTGTGAAGAATGCACAAGCCTCAGTAAATGCTGAAGAGATCTCCAGCGTTATTCCAGCATTCAGCGAACAAATGAAGCTCGTCATGCACGATTGTTTTTGTCTTGTCCTTCCACACACAAAGGATAAACCAATACCCTCTTAAGAGTATCGTACTGCACGGAGTAATTTAGTCGACTCTAGTGCCCACTAACTCCATGAAAGGATGTCTGCTCATGAATAGACAATAGTACTATTCACTGTAGCAAAGGACAAACTTTCCTCTAAAAGCTTGACATGTGTTCTGTCTCTTCTGAATTGCATTTAATACAATGAGTATAAATAGTTGGGTGCTCTGTTCACTCAGGCACAGACACAAACGCTGCCATGCAAGCAAGTTATAATTTCTCTCTAAATTCTAAGACACATACCCAAGAAGAACACATCTCTATTTTATTTCTTTCGGCAAATCTCTTATATTTGCTAAGTGTATCTATGTGTATTTCTATATTGTTTTAGATAGATTTTTTTTTACCTTTTCTATTCCCCCAATGATCTGTAAATATCTGCATCGATCCTTCTTTATCAATATATATTTTTAAAAGTGAAAGTTACTGTGTTTGTATTCATCATCCCCCTTCTACAAACTGATACCTCTAAACTCTTGTAGATCCGACTGAGACCAAAACTCTGCATTCTCAACATTCAAAACAAAGGTAGTGTAACTTGAATTAAGTCCTTGAAGAGTTTAAGGAACCAATTTTAAATCTGAAATTGTTTCTCCAATAGAATTCAATGATTCACATATCTTCTTTATCGAATCACAGTATATTGCAATCGAGTTCGATCCTTGTTTGATTGTGTGAAATTGAGTCTTCAATTGTGACCATTTGGCAAAGGCCCATTGTTGATATGATTGTCCTATTGTCAATATGATTCTCTTATTGCTTTTCACAGATTTGATGTAGATTTTGTATCTCTGGCTAAATGAGCAATTTTCTAGTCTAACATTGCATTTATACATGTAGAGACAAAACAATCAGCCTTGGTCTAAACTTCCACTACATTTGGTGGTGTTGTGGGAGGAGACACAATCGAATCAATGTTTTTTTGAGTCCAAGAGTTTCTAACACCATCGAGATCTTATGTTTCCAATAAAGGTAATTGTCTCCATTCAATTTAAGTGAGACAAAATTGGTTAAATTCGGAAGAGAAACTATTGACCAGTGGTTGTACTTCTCACACTTTCGTTTTTCATCTTGAACAGAAAATGAAGAAGGAAAACTTTCAAAAAGAAAAAAACAAGAAGACTGACTTGCTGTTCTTGTTTTGAAGAAACAATCAAGAAGATTCTCTTGATTTTTGATGAACTTCTAGATCTAAGAATTGAGAAGAAGAAACTTCATTTTAAATCTTGTCAACGTTGAACCATCCGCTTTGATGCCATAAAACTCTATGTAAATAGGGGAGAAAAATAGAAAAATCAAAAAGAGATGGCTTCACTTGTTGTTTTTCATTACAAAACTTATATAATGATAACGTCACCCATCACAGGCACCTGGTAACACTAGCAAACCATCCAACTATCTTGCCAACTAACTCCAACTAACAACTCACTTCTTAACAAGAATATGTGGAAACTTATATGCTAAGAGATAAAATAAGTTTATGTTGGTAGAGTTGGTTTGATTGACTTTTCTACCACCCCATACACGAGTTCAATTCCTCTTTGAGCCATTTTCCTTAGATTTAGATTTTAATTTCAGATTTATTATGTCTCAAAAAAAATTGTAGTAAAAGAACTAACCAATATACCAATAATGATTTTGTGAAAAAAATTAATATATTTGTTTTGTATAATTAAATGTAGTATTTGAAAAAATTTCTAGATCCATCTGTATTTCACTTTCCAATTTTTGTTGTTAATAGTTCATGTGTTTTGGCATAAAATATTTTTTTAACCACAAAGGTAGTGCCTGATTGGTTTGAGTTTGGGCTACAAAGGTCAAAAGTGTCTTTAGGTCTCAGGCTCAAATCCAAGGAAGAATAAAAATCCACATGCGTCTACGGAGGTTCAAATGCGTTGACTCGGAGCTACCCATAAAGTAATGGTCGTCTTGAAATTAGTCGACTCGTATAGTGGGCTGGATATCCAAGATAATAAAAAAAAATATTTTTTACTATAATGTAAATTATTAATGAAATTATATTATCATGTTAGCTGAAATAATTTTTATTTAAATAATTCATAAATTGATACTCTTTTATCATTCAAAACCTATATTTAGAAAATTTATCAAACTAACTTTTTCAATTTATTCAATATAAAATCCATACAATAAAATACTAATTTTTGTTATTAAGGCTACTTATTTAGCACATTAATAAACCACATTTTAAATTAATGCATACAAATCGTTTAATCTATATATTGCTTGATAAAAAAAAAAGCAAGTCTATAAAATTCCGATAGACATTTATATTTTGAACGATTAAGTTCTTGTTAATTTGTTTAGCAAATAAACCTTTGCACTTACATAAATCAAACAAAATGGCCTTCTGACCGTAAAAGTTGACCAACGAATGGCATCTCGGTAAAAATCATTTTTAAGGTAGGGAAAATCCGAAAAACCCAAACTCATTTTCATAATTATTAAGGGATTAAGTACTTGAATAAACTTTTGAACAAATAAGTCTCTCTACTTAATGAAATTGAACAAAATAATCCTTCTAACCATAAAAAATGTTTAGTAGCTGTTGGTGATGAACAACATAATGATGGTGATGTTATCGGAGATCAAGAAGATTTGAAATTGGAAGGGTTAAACCTCAACCAAAAATTGACGATGTAACTGAAAAAAAGTTCATCCCATAACATCTTATTGTGACTCGACTTTCAATTCTTCAAACGATCAATTCCAAAAAAGAAGTTGAAATTATGATTGATAATGGGTAAGGATAAACTCGTTATTCGTTATGTTTCCCCCCCGTTGGATGAGGATATGAGTAAAGAAAATTGTATCTATTTATTCACTTATCCATTACTTGTTTACATGACATTTTTTTTTGTAAGGGTGTCCGGGCCAAAGCCCGACTAATCCCCGGCAAATTTGGAGGTTAAACATGGCCCTATTAAATGTCGTCAACACTCCCCTCCCAGGGCTCGAACTCGGGTTCATGACTATGCCATGCCCAAGCCTTTACCACTAGGCTGGAAGGTCTTTGACTTTACATGACATTTTAGTGGGTAGGGTATGGATAAAGTGTTTATCTTTACCTATTTACCCATTACCTATATATATATATATATATATATATATATATATATATAATCACACACGTACATATATATATATAATTATATAAAGTTAAAATTAATTATATTCTATAATGTTATCTTATATGTTGTATAGCATATATTAATTAGTATTTAGTTTTCTTTTAATATTAATCAATTAAAATAATTAACTAGGATAACCAAATGAGAAGTAATATGAGGTCGCTAAAATAAATATAACAAACATAAATGTTGTCTTTAGATTTTTATATTGTTGTGTAAAATATCACATTATAACATATTTAAAACAATATCACGATGTTTATTGGAAAAATTAGATGTAAAATAAAGATTATATTTATGAACTTATATTTTACTTATATGTTGATGTTTAATAATATTGTTATAGTTCAAAATGATTTTTTTACCATTTATCCATCACCCATTTTGTTACCCACTATCTTAATGGGTAGAGTATGGATATAGATAAGAGTTTTTGACGATAATTACTCGTTTCGTTTATCCCGTACTTTAAATGAATTAAATAACGAATTAACCCTTATCCTACACATTGGCGGCCTTAGTTGAAATGTAAAGAGTACTAAAAAGCAAACTAATAAACCTTGTATAGCACCAAGCTAGAGGTGGATTTTCAAAAGAAAAGATTTTTACTATAAGTTAAGCATTACTTTGTAATTACAAATGATTAATAGAAATAATATACTTCCTTATTTTTTATTGGTTCATTTTACTTTAAACTGATATATTGATATACCAAGAGAAAAATTGTATGCTGCTTCATTTTTTAGGTGTAAAGATTTAGTTGTACAACAAAATGTCCAAGTTATAATTCATTGAGTTTGTATTTGGTTTTTCCTTTAATTTTACATCATTAACCGTTATATAGGTTATAAGAATCAATGTGGTCGGTTTCAAAATGTCCCAAGACTTAATAACTTAAATACAAAATTGCATCTTTTCAGACTTTCCGATAAAGAAAAAGACAAACCCGTAATAACCTAATCTGATGTCTTTCTAACCCATTGATTTAATGAGTTTTATGCCATTAATATATACACACACACATCAGGCATTAGACCAACTTGTAATTAACTCTTTATAATTATATCAAACTTTAAACTGTGAGTATTTTTTTTCCATATTTACACGAACCTTTAACTTTTTTCTTTGAGTTTATTACAATATGTTCCAGCAACCTACCATACTTATACACTATTACTACATAGGAAATGGAGTATATAGTTGTCTATGTAATTTTTAGTCTTAGTGGAAAGTCTAAGCGAATATCTCTTAACATCTCTTATGCAAATATTAGCTTTATTTGTATATTTTCATTTTGTTGTTAATCACTTAGCTAGATTGAAAAAAATGATATATTAAAGTTTCAACCCAGTCAAACCGATCAACCTAACCCAACCCAACCCGCACGGTTTGGATTTGGTTGGGTTGTATTTTTATTTTGGTTGGGTTGATTTGAAATTTTTCTAAACCGTAAAAATATTGGGTTGGTTGTTCAAATGGAACCGGACTTGTGCAGCCCTATCATAAAGGTTTTAAGATGTTTAGATTCTCACCATTTGTGATTAACCCAGCTTAGCAAATTTAGTAGCTATTGAATTCTCGGTCCATGCATGAAATTTAATTCACAAATGAAGTCAACCTAGAAGAAATTTTGAAAATGAAATGCCTGAATCCATCAATCCCACAAGAGAGAGAGATGATATGCAAATTGTATTTTGAGCTTCTTTTGTTGGGATCACACCAACATCAACATGAACCATTAATCTTGCTCTTTAACTCCAGTTCTATTGGGCAGAGGGCGAGCATTAAGAGGGAGATTATTGCATATTTTCTTAATCTCACTAAATCCAATGGAATTGGGAATTGAAGGGCATGCTGACTAAATCCAATGACCTTCTAACATTCTCTTGGTTATATTAAAACTGGGTTGAAGGATATTCTTTCAAGTCTTTATAGATTTTATTAGATTAAAAGGTTAATAGTCTGTATGAAACAGTAAAACTGTATATAATTAATACTGAAAAACTGATTGAGAACCAATTGTGATGATACAACTAAGAACCAAAATGTTCAAAAGAATCTGAAGGGCAAGAAGGGGAAGTGAAAAATACCAATGCTTTCAACTTTGAAAATGACGACATCATCTTGTCAAAAATCATACATGATTTTGAGATCACTTCATTCACATAAACAAACCGACTTGCTCAAGTCGTCACTTGAGAATGCATCCAAACTCATACATGTTACATTTTTAGAAAACTACATCGTGTATCTTATTAAATTAAAATCAAGTTCGAAATGAAACAAAAAAAGAATTATATATTTTTGGGAGAGCCGGCTCTGAATTGTTTGTAATTCCGTTATATTTTCTAATAAAATTTTGCCTGATGTTCCATATTCTTTAATCAAAATACCTCGTTATATACTCTCGTTTCATTATTTCAAACTTGAATTGTGTACATTTGTCAATATTAAAGGGCCAATATAAAATAACTTTTTTTAGTTCAAATGTTACTTTTACATGCATATTTTAAAAAAATTAACAGTGACAAACCAATAAATTAACCAAGTGATGAAAAATTTGCACTTAAAAGTAGGGTCTCAAAGTTGTTTAAAGAATGTTACTCATCCGTGTGAATTAGTTTTTATCCTCCATTGAAAGATGGAAAAGGAAATAAATTGCCCTCGAGTCAATCCAAGAAGAACCCATAAAAATAACTTTGCCTGAAATAACCCGAACTAGCAATAAATCCACCACCACCACTTCCCCACTCAACCCTAACATGCCTTCTTCTTGGCTTTCAATTGCCCCCTATTTATTCTTTGCCTGCAACACCAACCTTTTTGCCTTAGAATATGTCCTGAACAAAGTAAAAGGTTAACTCATTTCTTCCTCTTCTTCTTTCATCAAGTTATCATAATCTCTCTCTCTCTCTCTCTCATACACATTAATGCTTTTCTCTGCAACTTTCCAGACCAAAATTAAGGTAAACAAAGAATTCCTTGAAGAAAAAAGGAAAAATTCTCAAGAAGATATATAGCTATTTGTGTTTATCCCATATCTATGGTCGTATTATATCTTTTGTATTCAGAATTTTCACCATCTTCTCTAGACAGATCCAAGCTTGTAATATACTTTGAGTACCTGCAAATTTTAACAATCACTTTTCAAAACAATTCACTGTTTTTTTATTTGAAATAATAGAACGGTTTCTAAGGCATGGACAGTAGTTTTCTTATTTTGAGTTTTTTTTTTCATGCTTGTTTAGATGTTATTATTATTAAAAGTCATAGAAATTAGGATGATTATGTTGAGAATTCAATCAATGAACTATTTAGTTTATTAATGGAGTATAATTAATTATTTTAGTATTTATGTTGATTGTAACTGAACTGAAATGCAGGAGTAGGTGAATAGTCTATGGCTATAAGAAGAGATGTTATGTTTGCTTAGCCTTTTCATTCTTCCACAGGGAACCAAAAAAAGAGCCAAAACACAAAGAGATCACCTTTTTGTCTGACTTTAAGGGTGTGGAAAGAAGCTCATTCAGCATCAATCATCACAGACATTCATAGCTAGTTATATTTAAGATGGCTTCATCAAATAGGCACTGGCCTAGTATGTTCAAATCCAAGCCCACCTACAACACTCATCAAGGCCACCAATGGCAGTCCCAGGGCTCCAACCATCCCCTGGCTTCTGCCTCCCACAGATCAGCTCCTTACGCTTCCGGTAAATTTCTCAATTACCCTCATCATTCTTTTTCTTCTTCTATCTCCAGACTCTACTTATTTATTGAACTTAAACTCATATTTTAATCGTGGGATAATGACAATTTATGGATCAATATATTTAGATGTTTGGTCAAAAATTTATCCATGTCTGTGTTTGTATTCGGAGAGCGAGTTTGGGTGTAAAATTGTGTGTTTTATATTTTTTTGGAATATTTTGAAACTGTTCCTGATAATCTTGAAGTGCTGATGAAGTATGTAAGTCATTGTTTCCATTGTGTTATACACACATCCGGAAAAAGAGTTAAGGATGTTGCATACGTTACAAGATGGATGAATTTTTTTTAATAATATTATCACAGAAACTAAGGTGTCGAAACATGACAGGATGTGACGAAAGAACCCCGGAACCAAAGCCAAGATGGAACCCTAAACCCGAGCAAATCCGGATCCTTGAATCCATTTTCAACTCTGGAATGGTGAACCCTCCAAGGGATGAAATCAGGAAAATCCGAGCTCGACTGCAAGAGTATGGCCAAGTCGGTGATGCCAACGTCTTCTACTGGTTCCAGAACAGGAAATCTAGGAGCAAACACAAGAACCGCCACCTCCAAAAATCACAAAACAACCAAACTCAGCCTGGTGTCACCAAGGCGGCAACCACCTCTTCATCGTCATCCTCCGAAAAGTCCTCTTCCAAGTCAATTGAATTCCTTTTGAACTCCCCTACAGCTTCGGTTAACCAACAACCACAAGCCTACATAGGTTCCCACCACCATCATCATGGGGGTTTCTTTCAAGAACCCTTATTTTTCCCAGTGATGCAACAACCACCTCCGACTCCCACCACCACAAGTTTCACACAAGAGTTTTGCTTTCCCAATCTCAGCACTATGATTAATCAAGAAAATCATCATGGGACTGATGATCCAACTGTTGTGAGTAGCTCTGGGATGTTGCTTACTGATTTGATGATTAGTCAACAATATGGAATCCCGACTAAGAATTCCAAAAGCAAGGATGTTGGAGACGAGAATATTATGAAAATGTTGAGTCATGGTACTACACCACCACCAGCAGCTCCTACTTCCATCATCCCTCCAGCTACTACAATTATTGCTCCATCAACTATCACTGACATTCAAGGTTCTTTTCCATCTTTCTCTCTTTTTATTTCTTAAATTTTGTTTGCACATGTGACTACGTATTTCTCATGTGTAAGTTCAATTAATCATCAAATGCCTATGTATATGATGGTACGAAGAAAGTGAAGTAATGATTAAGTGTGTTGAAATGCAGGTGTGGAAGAAGTTGGAACGGGAAAAACAATAGTGTTTATCAACGATGTGCCATTTGAGGTGGCGATTGGACCCTTTAATGTGAAGGAGGCATTTGGTGATGATGCAGTGCTCGTAGATTCCTCCGGACAGACTGTGGTGACCAATGAGTGGGGGCTCACACTTCAGTCACTCCAGCACGGTGGGTTTTATTACCTGGTGCGCTCAATGACATACGATCATGCTGGCACCATGGATTTGGTACACACTTCCATCCCCTCTGCCTTGTTAATTATGAGAAACGTGTGGGTAAATATATACATGTGAAAGTTCAAATAAGAAACGTAAAAAGGTCAATTTCATTCAAATGAATTATTCATATGTGAATTATTAATAAAACTTATAAAAATCGATTTGAAGATCATATATGAATCTATATTTTGTTTTACCAATGATTCGCATATCAGTAAGAATGACTCACTCTTTTTGCATGATCTCATTTGAACTGTAAGAAGGTTAGGATGGCAATCATGCACAGACAGAAAGTAACCATTGCAGGACAAAAAAAGCTAAAGACTTCAACTTATGGTATTACAATTTGCGTAAATGAGTAGTCGTTGTTGCTTGAATTTATGGACATAAGTAGCACATCAATGCAGTGTAATGGGGTTTCTCTACAACAAAAAAAGACATATTTCAATCATTTAAAAAAAAATGTAACACTTCAAATTTAGGGTATTTCCAAAAATAATATGACACTATATAACAAAATTAGGTTTTTCAGGACAAACTAAGACATACTTCAATCATTTCAAAAATGTAACACTTTAAATTTAGGGTATTTCCAAAAATAATACGACACTACAACAAAATTTGGTTTTTAGGACAAAAGGCGTGTTCGAATTCTGATCGCTTTTACGCGAGAAAGGGGGACCACCCTCTAAGCCTAAGTATTCCTCAATGACCGGTAGCGTAGTACTTTAATCATTTAAAAAAAATGTAAAACTTCAAATTTAGGGAATTTTCAAAAATAATGACACTAAAACAAAATTTGGTTTTTTATGTACGCCTAAGATGTCTAATTAATGTCCTAATAAAATAAATTATATGATTTAAGTTTATAGGATCAACCATAAAACGTCTTATCTAAAAAATGTTATAATTAGTTTATACGAGGCTTTTAGACGTTTTATCAAGTTTTATAGAATTCTTTTAAAGTAAAGTATCATCCATTAATTAACTATTTTATACAATACTATCTTAAAAAAATGTCCAATAAACACAAGTGTTCTATAAAAGAATGAGCTTATCGGACACTTTTTGAAAATGTCCTAAAAATAGTTAACATGACACTTTGTTTTAAAATTATCCTAAAAAACTTGAAAAAACATCTAAAAACATCCTATAAAAGTTGAATGAAATATTAATGTTTACTTTTACCTCCAAATATAGAGGTCACATTTTGAAAGTTCATTTTTTATGTTTTAATATTTTGAAGATGAAAATACTTCAATCTTATTATTTTTTATTATTAGGTTGAAGATGGTTTGAATATAAAATATTATTTTAAGATGTTTAGACAATTAAGATGTATTATAAAGTCAATTTTATTAGGTGGGAAATTGGTTTCATGAGAGCATATATGTTTGTTCAGATTTAACACCCTTTGGTGTAAGTTTGATTTTGTAAAATTTTGCTACATTAATGCAGTCTTTAAATCAAAGTTTTCACATCAATACAGAATATTCTGTATTGCTAGCTAGGGTGGATGAATTGCAGGAGCCTAATTACACCCTATATTTTGCTAATCGCACCCTTCTAGTTTGCTAATTATCCTCCTACTTAAAATGTATTTACTACTAGTCCTTTCATTGGTGACCATGCAGATTTAAAATGAAGCACAAGGACAGGAGAAGCCATCTTTTAATCCTTTTACAGCTCTCTCTCTCTCTCTCTCTCTCTCTCTCCAGGTAGTAGTGTTGTTACGGGATCGTCATCCTTTAGAAAAGAATATGTATGTAGTTGTGATGTATATTTCTGCATCTGGCCATGATCAAACCCCAGGCTTGGTGCTTAAAAAACATCAGGTCTGGTAATTGATCACCAGTAGGGCAGTGCTTCGAGCATCTAGATATGTGTTAACTACTTTATTATGTAGCATGATATGTAATGGGACAAAGCAATTGTTGGTTTGTGTTATGCCATGAGGTAACCCACATGAGAGATACATATATAACTTGCTTCGTGATATACATCAACCTTTTTTCTTATTATTATTATCAACTTCTTGTATTGCAAGATGATTAATCCCGGTGACCACTTGCTTTGCACGTAGTCCGGAGTCACCCATTTAAACCAACGTAGCCACAAGGAGATTTTTATTGCTTATTGGATTTGAGAACTTGGAACTTCCCGACATTTTTAACCTTTGGAGTCCAAACTCAAACCAATAAGTCACCACCCGTGTGGTTGATATACATCAACTGTTGATACTTGCAAAGATTTTTTTTTGGTAAGCTGGGTCTTGTGTAACAACTAATTCCCGGGTCATCACCAGTGAACCTCCATGATGACAAAGGCTTGAACAACACCTAAAATTCGAATCCTGAAAAGATGAGATTTCTACCACATCTCCTGTGAGCTGGACTTGTGCCTTCAGGTTTAGGTGATATCATCTTCCTCATAATTTCGATCTGTTTGTTAGGCTTTGTCTCCTGTAAAGGCAAATATCTATCAAAAGGGAGTCGGATCCAAGGTTATTATCTCCCTTCTTTAGTTCTTTTACCAAATTATAATAACCTACGACTAAAGTTATGGTACGTTCGAAGTGGCACCCCCCAATGACCGCAAGTCATACGATATGAGTGCGAGGTAGATGGGACATCCATCGCTCTCAAGGCAAAACGAGGAGTTAAATATATTTTTTGTATATGTGGTTTCATGGAATTTAGAGTTAATTATAGATTTGATCAATGTGGTTTGATGGTTTTTACAAAACTAGCCCCTAAACTTCTATACTACGAAAATTATTTGCATGTTTGTAACGATTTTGATTCCTCATCTTAAGTGCCATCCATTTTCTTCGTTAAAAGAGTATTACCATTTTTTTCCCTTTATTTAATCATTTTTTTTTCTTAGTTTTGGTCTTCTTTTAGTTTTTTGTTATTTGGTTCTACCAGGTGAAAACACTCTATAATGGAACTTTAGCTTGTGGCTTTAGTTAACAAAAGTGTGAGGCAACTTTGGCCAATTACAAGACATCCGCTAGCTTCGAGTGAGAAAAAATGTTCTCTCATGTTGATGTTCTTAGAGCACATGTGGGGCCGGTTGGCATTGTTGGTAATCAACTTTTATCAAAGTATATAGAGTATTATATATGGCAAAATATCTAAATAACAACCTGGTTTCATAAATTTATTTATTATACCATTGTACTTCCAGTTTTCTTATTACAACAATGCACTTTCAAATTATTTTTTATTAGAGCATTGTATTTTGGAAAATTTACCTATTGTAACATTAGATAACCTTTTGATTTATATTTATCCATTATACGAGGTTTCCATGCCACCTCCCAATCCAAGTAGGCTGTTCACATATACTATAACTGACGTGACATTTCTTATTACAACATTGTATTTCAAAATTATTTTATTATAGCATCTATACAACATTGCACTTTTAATTTTAATATTTTATTGTTTAATAAATATATTAAATGAATTAGAAAAATTTTAAATTATTCATTAATATATCAACATTAATAAATCTAGTAGAACACAATTTATCTCGCTAACATTTTTAAAAAAATATGTATTTTTGAAAGAAAAAAAAAGAGTTGTTACTCTTTTACCATAAAATTATTTTATTTTTAAAAAATATATCATACTTATTTAAAAGAATTTACTTGACAAATTATTCATTAATATAACAATACTAAAAAATTGTAGATCACAGTTTATCTGGCTAACATCTTAAAAAAACTTTAAAAAATACATTTTTTTAAAGGAAATATAATAAGAAGTATTATCTTTTTTAACAAACAAAATAGTTATCTCAAAAATAATATAGCATATTCATTTAAGAATTATTTTACTTTAAAATACTTAATTTGAATGTAATTTAATACTAAAAGTCAAAAAAAATTAAATGTTTTTTAGATTGTAGCAATGAAAAGTGAAAATCATTAAAAATAATTTGAAATACAGTTTTTTTTTGGTTTTTTTAATCATGTAAACAAAATGATGTGTCATCTATATCACCTCATCGAAGCCAAGTAAGCAAAAAAATTAATGGGTTAACCGGTTTAAAAGGTCATTGTTATAATGGGTAGAAGTTTCAAAGTATGATATCTTAATAAAAAATAATTTGAAAGTACATTGTTGTAATAAGAAAAATGAAAGTTGAATGCTATAATAAAGAAATTTATGAAAGTAGGTTGTTATTTCAAACATTTAACCCTATTATATATGTACACTATCTATACTATATTATAAAGTATTTGACAAAAACTCTTAAAAACTATTTTTTATGCATAAAATACCATATATTGATGCATATTACTTAAAATTCAAGATTACAAGTATATTATGCACAAGTACAACTTCTTAAAGCTCTATGTTTGAATTCGTGTAACTAACTGCGGATAAACATAATCAAATACATGATAAACATCTCATTTCAAAATATAAATAATCTAAAATACAATTAGGATAATCATGAAGTTCTAACAGAATAATTAATTATTATCTTTATAAAATGTTATATTATTAAACCAAAAGTAAATTATTTCGTTATTTAACTTAAATTAAATTATAATAAAAAATAAATTAAAGAAATTACATAAAAATGAGAACTTTTAAATGGTTGATTTGATATTAACATTGATATATTTTTTTCAAAATTTTATGATATCTTCATATTTATATTTTTTCAAAAATAAAATCATTATTGCTTTCTTGAAAACACATAAAATCGTATTATAACATCGACATAGACAAATAATAAAATAGAACATTAAAATCAAGATGTGTCTCGCTGCATTGCGCAAGTACTTTTCTAGTATACATAAATACATACATGGACAAAACCCAAGACCTCCAATTTGGTTCTAGATAGATCTTCGATTTGGTCCCGTCGGCTACACCTCAACTCCAATAAAACCCACGAGCTCCGGTAGAATCCCTCACCTGAAATTTTGCCAACTCCATCTTTGATGAAACCCACTCGCCTGCAACTCCGTTTCCCCGATCACCAACCCCTCCACCCATCCACATCATAATCTGGTCCAATATCCATAACCAGCTTTAGTGTGTATACGTATGTACATGTGTGATTGTTAGTGTGTGTATGTGGCATTCACTACAAAATTGGACCCTATCAGTCGTTGATAGTTTGTCAGCCAAATAGTGATAGGTGATGCCATCAGCGATGGAATTTAGCGACAAATTAACAACGACTAGGATCACCGATGAATCGACAACATATTGTATCACTGATGTCACTGGCGGATTAGTGACGGGCATTTAGCGACGAGTTTTTAGCGACTGATTAGCAAGGGCGTTTTAGCAACAGATTTTCGTTGTTGATTTTTGGTAATTAAAAAAATTAAAAAAATGCATATCTTGTATATTTAGTACACGACTTACCCATAAATTCAGAATTGCAAACTAAAACTTCCTAACAAATTAAAAACAACCAATTCACATCATTCAAAATGCCAAATTCATACAAGTCAAATGCTTGATAGGTACATAACAGTCTAACTAGGGAGGGGGAAGTGTGTCCACGTTGCTGAATAAAAGCAGTAAACTGATGCCTCAGAAGACCTGTTGAGCTTACTGGGTAGCATACTTGGCTCTTAGGCCTCCAAATCTACCATTTTCTTCTGTTTGGCCTCCAGATCGGCTAGATAACGATCCTCCTTCTCCTCATCTGCCTTCTCCTCTATCCTTGCAATTTTTTCTTTCAACTCATCCCACCTGTGAATATTCAGTATTTGACAAAACTCAGTAAATTGTTGGCAATGAAAAGTAATGACATAATACATAATAATATAACCAACATACCTTCGCTGCCAATCCAATAACAGATGATCTCCCGATGTGCTACAGATGCTACAATCACTGGTCATAGCATAATAGGGATCCTCGGAGATCCCGAATCCAAAAAAACAACCTTTCTTCCATCATCCAATACTCTGCTCCCAAAGAGCTACATCATTAGGAGGTATGGTGTGAGGCTCTGTATTGGACTAGGCCTCATCCCTAAGCTTTCAAAACCACTCCTACTTACCATAACAAAAATGAGTGAACTTATATTTTTAGACAGTTTAGCAACATAATGACTGTAAATCAAAGATTACCAATGTCGGGTTTTAACAATTATAATATTCGAATTACCAATGGTAGTGAAATTAGTAGCCAAACTATCTACTTATCCTAATGTCTGACCAACAGTGGTAGACTAAACTAATAGCATCACTACGTTTATTAAAATATGTTACTTTAAATCTATCAAACGGCTCTATAAAACAAAGTAATGGTTTTAGAAATTTACTGCTGCTCTAGCCGCTTTGGGGTAAATGAAGATCGAAGGATCAGTAGGAGGGCCCGACAAACCCTAAGTGACCTTCTGGTCTGAGCAGTGAATCTGCTTAAATACCTCTGGAGAATTTCACTCACAACCCTGTGTCTCTCTCTACAATAGAAAGTTATGATAACATGCAAATCTAATTACTTATTTAAAAAAATTGTAGACTTACCATTTGGTGTCGATGCAAATGCAACACTAATTGATCCCCTGGTGTCCCTAGACAACACCTCAAACAGGGTCGCTCGATTGGCCTTATCGGACATAGACTGGGATCTCCAATGGTCGGTATTCCACACATGTTAAAAAAACATAACACATAAGTCACTATAAAACAAAGCTAATATACAAAGCTTACAATAAAGATAAAAACCTTATCAATCATGTCGAGCTAATACGGCACTTGATCCAGGAAGGGTGGTGTCCTCTAAGGGATGTGAAGTACACACCATAACATGTCACTTCCTTGCACCTGCCAGGCCCATTCTCTTACACCCCTCATCCAATCCCCATACCTATTGTACGTGGTACGAGCCTATGCATCATAAACCTTTCCATCCTACATCGGGTCCCACTCGAACTTACCATACATAGATAAGATTTGTATCAAGGTAAAAATAATAATCTGATATGTACAATTACTTTAAAAGTGATTCATGTACCAACTTGAAAGCGTTCGAACATGTACTCACGGTCAGCTTGAGGGACATCTTTCCAGCATGCCCACAAACCATGAACAGCAGAATTGAATATAGAAGTGACCTCCCGGACAACATGAGGATCTAGATACCTGCACAATTAAGAAATACATACAATACAAAAGTTATTCATATCATTTGATTATATGTAATAAAAAGCATTATACCACATCTACTAACCCGCCACCTCCCGGCTCTAACTACGATCGCTGACTTGGATGATGTGGCATCAATATTGAATGGTTAGGCCTCTCCTCGACCCCAAACCACTAGAATATGAGACCTTCGTCTGATGTTCTTCATCCTCGATGTCAATGGTCTGGATGGAATCATTTAAAAACTCCTCATAGTCATCAAGGCATGGGTTACCACCCCCGCCAGAGGAGCTACTGCCTCTATCAGAGCTGGGGCTACCTCTACCATGACCTTTACTACTACCCTACTGACAGCATGCTATTGCTTGGAAAAACAAACATTATACTCTATCCAAAAAATATAATGAGAAATCACAGTTATACAATTATGAAGTAAAAATACAAAATGTAAGTTACTCGTCAAAATAATGATCAGATAAAATTAGTTCATCTTCATTATTTGAATCATCATATATGTCTTCAAATTCTGCTTCCTCGTCGTTATCTTCATTAATAGGTCCATCGTCGCTATCTTTATTAATAAATCCATCGTCGCTATCTTCATTAATCTTGTCGACTACATTTACCTCCTTTGTGACAAGATGAATGGAATATAGATCCTCATTTAATCATGTGGACGTTGAAAGAATTGTTCTCTATCCATATTATCATTGTCCTCAAGATCGTTACTTTTTGTTACTTCATATATTCTTGATAACCACCCACCAATTTTTCAAATCATTTGTCATCAAAGGCTATTAAATAAATTAGACTTGTTATGTTTGTGATGTTAGGACGAGC